ACTCACTGGACTGGCATGCTCAGGTTCAGGGTTAAGGGGAATATAAAGAAGTTAGAAAGAGTCCAAAAGAAAGATCCTAACATAGTAATAATAAACATAGAGATAAACAAATGAGACGTGTTTGAGATCTACATCATGAAAACTGACATTGTTAAAGGACATAAAAACTAGGCGGCTGTTTTCCTCCACAAGCAAGTATCACTGGCCTTAAGGGGTGACAACCATACTCCTTGATCCTTATTGTTGAAAATGCCCCATCTTTCAGGTTAATGTCATAAGACTCTATTACTCACCACCTTAGTACCACCCACTACCAACTTCTGGGTCATTCCACCTCATTCCTTGACTTAAGCTCTCAGCTCAGGGTCTCTCACCAACTACCCACCACCGCTCTAATTCTTGATGGTTCTAGTAACCACTCAGATGATCCATTCAATATCCTTGCTGCTCAGTTTCTTGACCTCGCCTCCGACAATCTTGTTGTCCGTGCTACTTTGGCCATTAATTCTTGTGGTAATTCCCTGGCTGACCTGGTCATAACCAATCACCAAACTACTCCATGATCTTAATTTCAAACATTCTCATTTCCAATCACCATTCCGTATTTTTGCCCATTCATTTGTTCTGATGTTAAAATTCCAACAAACCTTAGGCCCCACAGGATAAGCAATGGATCTTATTTTTCCCCCATTGATCTCAATTCCCTTTCACTTTCATTCCTTCAATTTATCAACTCATGGCCTCACTTCCTCCTTACTCAGATTAAATTCCGGTGGTCAGTCAGCAGAATCAGTATCTCTTTCTTCACTCTCAACTCCCCTCTCTGGCTTTCACTTCTCTGAGCACGTTTGATTAACCCACAAAGTTGGGCAAATCCAACACTCCACGTCTTCTGCACCTGTACCCAGGCCTCTGAAGGTACCTGGGGAATCACACAAAACCATGCACCATGGCCTCACTTTGAATTCATGATCACTAACCCCAAGCGGCCCTCTAACACCGCCTGCATATTTTACTGCATTTCCATAGTTGTTCATTCTCCCGCTCTCCTATGAGATTGTCATACATGCTCCTCTTTCCTCAAATCGCCACCACCTCATCCCCTGTCCTCACTCTTAGTTGATAATTCTGCTTCCTATTTCATGTGGAATAGAAAAGCAATCAGAAGATAACTCCCACTGGCTCTCACCACCGTATCTTACTACCTCCTTGTATCTGTGTCCAGACACCCTACCCCTTGTCCTGTTACTGTGGATGAAAGATCTGCATCCTGACCAAGTGCACCTGTTCACTTATGCCCTAAACCCCATCGCCTCTCTGACTCAAGGACATTGCTCCAGTCACCCTCCCCTCTCTTCTCTGTATCGTGGATGTCCCTTTTCTGCTAGATAATTCCAGTCAACACAAAAGCAGGCAGCTGTTCCTCGCATTTTATTAAAAACGATTTCTGATCCCACTTCTTTTTCAACTGTCTCCCTACAAATCTTCTCATTTCAGCAAAACTAATTCCTTTCCTTCTATTTTCTCATGAATTCACCGCAGTCAGAATTTGCCTCCTCCAGACCACTAAAACTGCCTTTATCAAAGCCACTGTGGCATCCGCATTACTAAACTCAATGCTTAATCTCAGCCTTTATCCTAGTTGATCTTATTCCATTTACCATTGATCCCTCCCTCCTCCCTCACTTGGTTTCCAGGATACCACACTCTCCCGGACTTCCTTTTATCTCTCTGGACCTTTCTTAATTTTCTTTTTGCTTCCTCTTCAACTCCTAAATTCTAAATATTAAAGCAACCAAAGGTCCAGTCTTTGGGCCTGTTTATTTTTTTGTACATCTCTCTTGGTGATCTCATTTAGTTTTGTGGCTTTTTATAGCATTTTATATGGTGAGGACTCTCACATTTAGATCTCTAGCCTAGACTGTTCCTCTGAACTTCCAGACCAGTTCCTCCAACTGCCCATGTGATGACACCACTGAGATTTCTAACAGGCATCTCAAATTTAACATGCCCCAAACTAATTTCTTAATATTACCCATAAAACCTACAATATGTTTAGAGTTCCCTGTCTCAGTAAAATCTTGTCTGCTCCATTTTCAGAATATATCCAGAATCTGGCTACTTCTCATCATTACTGATACAACCCTGGTTCTAATCACCACCATCATTTGCCTGTGTTATTGCAAAAGCTTTCTAACTGCTTTCCTGGGTCTCCCTTTGCCCCGTCTTCGGTTTATTCTCAGCATAGCAGCCAGAGAAATCCTATTAAAAAGTAAGTCAGATTATGTCACTCCTCTGCTCAAAACTCTCCAATGATTCCCATATCACACACACAAGATTGAAACTCCTTATTATGTCTTACAAGGTCCTACGTAATCTCTCCTTCATGGTGTCTCCCTCATTCACTCTACCCACACAGGTCCCCTTGTTTTCCCTTTAACTCACTAGTCATGCTACTGTCTCAGGGCCTTTGCATCAGCTGCTTCCTCTACCTGGAATACCTCTTCCTTAAGAGAGCCCCATGGCTCATTTCCTCACTTAGGATTGTTACTTAACTGTTGTCTTCTAAATGAAGCCTTTTCTGGCTTCACCACCTAAAATGTTCACTTTCCCACCACTACCAAATAATTCTTATCACTTTTTCATCTACTACGTATTTGCCTTATTTATCGTCTGTCAGCCCCATTAAACTGTAGGCTCCATGAGGGCAGGAGTTCTTGTTTATGTTGATAACTGATATAAGCCCAACTCCTAAAAGAGTGCCTTGTACAGAGCAAATAGTCAATAACTACTTACTTGAAATAAATACCCTGTTTTTGAAAAGAAAGAATCAATATTGTAAAGATGTCAGTTCCCTTAGATTAACCTATAAATTCAATGTGACTCAATAAAAATATCACAAAAGATTTCCCCTAAAACATAAAAGGATGATAATTAAGGTCATTAAAAAATTCAAGAATAGTCAGAGAAACTCTAAATATTCAGAGTAAGGAAGGGAAACTATCAGAAAGTAAAATATATTACAGAGCTATAATAATTGGATAATTAAGTACTGTCTTAGGAGTTAACATACAGATCAACAAACAGAGCAAGGATTCCATAAGAAATTGACAGAAGAATTTCGCCTATGAGAAAAATGGCCCTGCAAATCAGCAAAAGAAAGATAGGGACAGTTGCTTATTTGTTTTAGGGAAAAAATTATATCTTTATCTTACTCTTTACACTAAAATAAATTCCAGATGCATCAAAGATCTAGTGTAAAGTATTAAACCCTAGAATTATTAGAAGTAAGGAAGGATTCTATCTTTGTAATCTTGGCATGAAGAAGGCCTTTCTAAGCATGTCCCAAACTCCAAAGAGATCATGAAATACATTAATACATTTGACTTTATTTTTTTAAATCTGGCAATATGTCAAAGTGAAAAGTTGAATGACAGACGGGGTGGGGAGGATTGCAACACACATATGAGAGACAAATAATAAATTTTCTGCAAGAACACAAGAAAGCACATCCCAGAAAAATATGCAAGTGGCTAACAGACATATAAAATACGGTCAAGCGCACTTGGAATCAAAGATATGAGTAAATTAAAGTAATAAAATGCACGTTTCATTTATTGAATTGTAACAAAATTAACAGTGTTTATAATATTCAGCCATGGTGAGCAAACAGGCACTCTCATGTACTACTGTGGGACTCCTACTTGTGACAGCATATTGAAGGGCGATTTGGCAATCTCTATCAACATTTTAAGTGCACATCGTTCTTGATCTGTAACTTTGGGCTATTTACTCAAGTAAAGTTACTTTAATCACTATCCTTTCTTAGGCTCAGTTTTCTCATCTGAGAAATGGAGATAATAGTACCTACCTCAGAGGGTTCCTGTGAGAATTACAAGATTATGCCTACAAAATGCTCAGATCAGGTTTCTTTTCTATCTTTCTCATTACTGGTAGCCCCCACACCCAAAACTGTGTCTGGCACATAGTAGGTACCTGATGAACATCTGCTGGATGGATGAATGAATAGAACCACTCAATTAACATTAGCTATTGTTAGCTATTAGTTGCCCTATATTTTCATTTCTAGGAATTTATCCCACAGATATGCATACATGCAAATATATATGCGTAAGTTGTTTGTTTGTAGATTGTTTATACAAAAAATTCAGAAGTAACCCAAATCTCCATAAATAAGGGTCTGATGACAAATGAATGATAAATATATGCAATGAAATATTAGGCAGTCATTAAAGCAAAAAGTGGAGATCTAGATATAGATCTAGATCTAGATATACTGATATAAAAGAATGCCCTAAGACATTGATAAGTTAAAAAAAGAAGGCTGCAAAATGGTACAAATAATATGATCATATTTATGTTTTAAGTATGTGTATGTGTGTGTGTGTATATAAATATATATATATATATTTTTTTTTTAATTTCATAGGATACACAAGAAGCCATCTGTAGCTACTCCAGGCTGAAGAAGGACTTAAGAACGGTATGGGGACTTTGTTTATCTTATACTCTTTCATTCTGCTTGGGTATTTTTGCATGAGCATGAATTATGCCTATAATAATAAAACTATTTTTTAAACTAGCAAAATAGGGCCCCTAGGGAAGTATCAGGAATAAGGGTAAACGGGGAGTGAAGGAAGTAAGACAGAAAAATAAGATGTATTGGGTTGAATAGTATCCTTCAAAATTCATACCCACCTAGAACTTCATAATGTAACCTTATTTGGAAATAGTGTCTTTGTACATATAATTAGTTAAGTTAGGAAGAGGTCACACTGAATTGCGTTGGGCCCTAATCCAATGACTGGTGTCCTTTTATAAGGCATACAGACACAGGAAAGAATGCCATGTGAGGAAAAAGGCATTTTGTGATGCATCTACAAGCCAAAGTTTGCCAAGGAACTGGCAACCCCGAGAGCTGGAAGAGACAAGAAAG